GCTCCACCCCATGGCGACCGAAGGACTTTAAAGGAGTTCTGGGGGGGCTTGGTCGGCATCTGGGCGATTCCGGGTACGGATTTCGGATCCTTCCCACCTTTGCATGGCGTCGCCGCGTCTCCCGCTCGCTTTGCTGGGCCAGCTTTTGCTTTAGCCCGCCCGATTTTTCATGATTATTATTTTTTTCCGGGCCAGGAGTTTTAAACAAAAGGGCAGAGCAACCACCGAGCTGGGGGGGTGCAGAAGCCAGAGAGCGGCGGCGGCGGCGGCACCGGCGGTGGCATCGGCGGCCCCCAGCGTCCCTTGTCGGAGGAGCCCTCGGATGCGGGCGCACCGTCCAGCCCGGAGCGATGGGAGAGTGGACTATTTTGGAACGGCTGCTGGAGGCTGCAGTGCAACAGCACTCCACCATGATCGGGAGGTGGGTTTCTTTCCCCCGCACTTCAAGAGGACTAGCGCCTTGGCCCCAAGTTGCCCGCGTATAAGGGTGCAGGGATAAAGGAGGCTGGCGGAGGGGTAGAAACGCCGGAGGGCCCGCCTGGTTCCCCTCTTCGCCGACCGAGAGTTGGGCTTGGGGTATGGGGCAGAAGAGGGGCTGATCCGCAGCTCCCCTCCCCAACTCTGCCCTGGCACCGGGAGGGAGCCCAGCCTCGGCGTCCCCCGTCCCTTGGCATCGACCAGTCTTGAGCCCTCTTGTCTAGTACCCTTAAGTTTTCAACATCGCTCCGAGCAGCCTGATTCCGGGTTCCGAAGAAGACTACAATTCCCATGACTCCCGACCAGCATAGGGCCACTGCGAGCTGTGGTCCTGGCAGAGCCGAGACCCTTTGCCAGGAAGCAGGCTGGGTTCTCCAGCTCTTTCAGCCTCTCCCTCCCTTACTCTGAAATCCCTCCAAATCTCCCTTTGGAATTGGGACAGCTGCACCCAGACTTGGGGAGAGGCGGGGGGGGGGGGGAGAGGTTGTAGGGAAAGGCAGATTGTCGAGGGATGGGGGGGGGGAGTAGAGGGAGGATGGGAGCCTGGGGAGATCCAGGGTGGGCAGCAGGCAGAGGGTGGGAGAGCCAGCTGAGAACCTGCCCGGGAAGTCAGACAAAATCTGGGAGGAAAAAGAAAGTGGAAAAGATGCTTTGCTTCTCCAGAGAAGTGGTCCATCCATTCCTATCTCCTTTTGAGATGCTGCCGAGATGCTCCTGCAGCATTTGGCCAGAGTTACCCCCCCCCCGGAGCTGGCAGCTTCTCCTCTCTTGTCCCCTTCCTGAACCATAGAAAAAGCCGGTTTTCTCAAGCCTGATTCCCCAAAGGAGGAGATCCTTTAAGCTTTATCCTTACTTGGCAACTTTTATGTCAGTTTCCAGAAGTGCAGATAAAAAAATAGGACTTTTTTTTAAAAAGATGGGAGCGTCTTTTTTTAAAAATAAAAAGTCTTTGCAAGTTGTAGGTTTCCTGCTTGGGGAAGACTGTAAATGCAGTATATATCCTGGGAGATGGATGGATGGATGGATGGATGGATGGATGGATGGATGGATGGATGGANTTCCTTGCTCCCCTTCCTCCCCTCCCAGGTCACCACCCATACTCCAAATTTCTTTATACCACTCATCCATGTCTATTCTATTTGGGCAACTGTCGCTCTCTCGATAACGCCAATGTCAAAAAAAAAAAGGGGGGGGGGAAGATCTTTGGACAGGGTGGATAAAAATTGATGATTTAAAAAAAAAATCAATAAAATGTTAAAATTTAAATTGGACTTTTTTAAATTGGATTTTTAAAAAATCAAATATATATTTAATAAAATATATTTTGGATAGTTAAGTAACACGTTTTCTAAAGATAGTTTTCTGTTGAAGATACATGCATAATTTAGTTTATTTCAGCATGAAACGGAGCTTCGTTATGTAGCAGAATAGTATATTCTGCCGTGACCCGACTAAGCGTGCACGACAAAACCGCATTGCTAAAACCGCGACGTCATCAACGCGCCAACAACAGCGCGTCAACAGAAGGGCGATTTAAGTTAAGGTAAGGGTTAGGTTTATGGTTAGAGTTAGGTTTACAGCGCACTTCTGTCGGCACGCTGTTGTCGGCGTGATTCAACGTTCATTCGCGGTTTTGTCACCGCGCTTTAGTCGGGCACGCTTTTGTCAGTCGCCCTTTTGTCGGTGAACCTATTCTGCAATATTGGGACTAGCGGTGAGGCAACAATGGGTCAGAGGAAAGGCCGCTGCGGGACAGAGATGACAGTTGCTCTTTAAAAATTATGGTTTAAATCGAGTTGATTTAAATCTACCCTGTGCTTGGAAGAGGATATTTCAGAGTGTGTCATCCCCGTCCCGTCGTGTCCCCACACCACACACGTACGCCTTATCAATTTATTCAAAAGACAGCTTTCCTGGCTCTGGACTTCACCAGTCTTAGCCTGGCACAAAAAGGAGAATCTCTGCAGAAATCCAGAGCCCTCTCATTACAGAACAAAGCAGACTAAATAGCAGAAGCTTATGTGCCAGAACAACGGTCTCTAACCTTGGCCACTTTACGACTTGTGGCGTTCAACTGAAGTCCACAAGTCGCAAAGTGGCCAAAGTTGGGGACCCCTCTGCCAGAAGATTTAGCACTAGCAGTATTAGGGGCTACATTCCTAGAGCAGACAAGAGCTTTGGGGACAACACTTTTGAGACAGGCTTGGGTGTCAGCGGAATAGCTGTCTAACTACACCTTAAAACAGGAAGGGGGAGATTTTGAGGACAGCCACTGACCTGCAAAGCCCCGATGGCAGCACTCTGGAACCGCAAGTCCGTCTTGAAATCCTGAGCAATTTCACGGACCAGGCGCTGGAAGGGCAGCTTCCGGATCAGCAACTCTGTGGATTTTTGATACCGCCGGATTTCTCGCAGGGCCACAGTGCCAGGCCTGGGTGGGATAATGTGGAAGTAAGTTTAACACGGCTCACCTCCCACCGGCGACTCCCAGGATCCTTTGAGAATCAGAAAAGTTCTTTCCACAGAAAAATTCTGTAGAAATTCTCAGCCATCCAGGTTCATGGGTCTCCACCTCTGACCAGAACAACAAGAGTTGGAAGGAACCTTGGAGGTCTTCTAGTCCAACCCCCTGCTCGAGGCAGGAAACCCTCTACCGTTTCGGATAAAGAGTGGTTCAATCTCTTCTTGAAAACCTCCAGTATTGGAGCAGCCACAATTTCTAGTGGCAAGTTGTTCCAATGATGAATTGTTCTGTCAGGAAATTTTCTCCTTAATTGTAGCCGCAAAGGTGCTTTTTTTCAGGAGACAACTCGACTTCCTTTTTTGTTTCGAAGACCTTTCGCTTCTCATCCAAGAAGCTTCTTCGGCTCATAGTGGAAGATATAAACTATGAATCTATGCTGTGAATCTATGAATGAACATAGATAGTTCATTCTCCCACCATCCAGTCAGAGCTGAAGAAGCTTCTTGGATGAGAAGCAAAACATCTTCAAAAGAAAAAAAACAAGAAAGTCCAGTTGCCTCCTGAGAAAGCACCTTTGGGATTTCCACAGAAAAGTTATTAATGATGGCAATCAAACGAAATGGACATGCAAACTTCCCCAATGGAGAAATAATTCTGGAGGTGAGAATGGGGACTCGTTGGGTTGCAGGGCCTAAAGCAACCCCCACTCCCCAATTCCAGCAAAAAAGGCTTAATCCAAATACCTGTAACGGTGAGGTTTTTTCACTCCACCGGTCGATGGTGCACTTTTTCGAGCAGCTTTCGTGGCCAGCTGCTTCCGTGGCGCTTTCCCACCAGTGGATTTACGGGCAGTCTGCTTGGTACGGGCCATTCTGGAAGTTTCTCAGGATGCAAGACGTCTGCTAACAAAGAGAGAGGATCCTTCATTATAAGACATTAACGCTTTCCCAACATGTTCTTGTTTTAAAACAAAACACTTAAGAAGAAGCCCGACAATTTTCAAATATTTATCCAGATGTACAAAGTCAACTCGCTTTCTTGGAAAACAGTCTGCTTACAAGGAATATATTTATAAATAGAAAAAAAAAATGAGAGAAAGGGGGAAAAAAAACTTTCCAAAGCCTTTCAAAAAATAACTTTCCTATTTTGGCAACCAAAATCTGTGGAGAATGTGAGTTTCTTGAAACAGCCTTTTTCTTCCAACATACTTTTTTCTGTAAACTAATGTAAAATCATATATTTTTCCCCGACTGTTTACAAACCACTCAGCTTCAGAAAAAAAGTGATATTCTGAGTCCTGGACACTGCAAGAGATGGCTTACCTCTCCTCCTAGCAGTTGTTAAATGGATCAATTTTATCCAATGGGTGTTGGATTTTTTTTTAATGGAAATCGGAAACAAGCACCAGAAACCAACAAAAAATGTTGGAAATGATAGTTTATGGGGCTGCAGGATGCTGCAAAGATGAACCGGTTGCCAAGCACCCGTATTGTGATCCTATGATGCCAGGCGGGGCCCTGTAACTTCAAAATTTGGGTGCTAAGTAGCTTCTGCAGGTCCATCGTAACTAAGCAACTGGTTGTAAGTCAAGGACTATTGTAAAACCACAAAGCATGCCTACAGTCCTTGGATCCGAGTAGGATCCACCGGACCTCCTGGACCACATTTAAAAAGTTTAAGTAAACAAAGCAAAACTGGATGCTTCAAAGCAGTTTTGGAGAAGAATGATCTTATTGAGGCCGTGTTTGAAAAGTCTGATTACAATTTGTCTTATTTTTGCATTGTGTGGGGGTAGTTGCTCTAATGTTGTAAGCCCCTTGCTCTGATTGAAGTGGCCCAGAGGTTGCAGTAAATACAGGTGGTCCTCGACTTACAACAGTTACAAGAACAGTGTTACAACAACACTGAAAAATGTTACTTATGACCATTTAACACACTTATGACCATTCGAGCCTCCGGGTGGACATGTGATTAAAATTCAGACACTTGGCAACTGACTCATACTTATGACGGTCGCAGTGTCTCAGGGTCACATGATACCCTTTTGCAACCTTTTGACAAGCAGTCAATGGGGAAGTCAGATTCACTTAACAACTGGGTTACTAGCTTAGCAACTTTGGTGATTCACTTAAGAACCGTGGCAAGAGAGGTCGTAAAATGGGACAAAGCTCACTTAGCACTTAATGTCTCACTTAGTAACAAAAACAAAAACTAGGGGCTCCGTTATGGTCATAAGTTGAGGATTCCCTGTAAAATAAGGATTAATGTATCGGCAAGCAATAAATTTGCAGTACAAGCAAAATCTTAAATATTTGCAAAACCCACAGATAAAAATACAGCTTTGGATTTGTCTTTTCGAGGCACTGAAAAAAACAAACATTAAAACGGAATAAGAGTTTCCCTGTAATAAATGAAACAGATATTAAGATAGGATCAGGGCCCAGGAACAAAAAAACCAGGAAGAGTAAAGAAAAAAAAAACCACAACTCGGCGGCCTCGTAATTAACATCTAGAAATAATTTAAGATACAACTATCGTGGGCCTGTCAGGGCCCAAAGGACTTCAACTCCCAGAATTCCTACTTAGAAGCCCCTTCCCAAATCAACAGCTTGGAATTCTGGGAGTTGAAGTAGCACCTAGACAGAGTCGGCTGGGTTGCGCGAGACTAGAGAAAACTCCACGCCCCAGAAGCCTTTGCGGAAACCGTTTCCTCCAATGGGCTGTTCGGAACGTTAGGAACACCAACCATGCCCCCGCCGCCCCCCTGAACGCACGTACGCCGCGGAGCTTTTCTTTCCCACTGGCCAGCGCGCGGCCACCCAATCGCCTTCTAGCCCGGGCTCGCTAAAGAGCAGAGGGTGGGTGGTGGGGGGGATGGCTTCAAAGGCTCCAGGCAGACTGACACCGAGTGGGCGCCAATCAGCCTCCACCTTTCCAACCTATCACGAATGCGGCCGTAATCGTCGTCCTTTCGACCAATCGCCGGGGGAGGCACACGGAAGGCGGGATTAAAGCTCTACGGGTGTGGGGGGGGGGAGAAAATGAAACGCATCGCCTCAAACGACCTCAAGTTTTTAATGCGCCCCCTTTTTTCCACGTTGCCCCCCCCACACATATCCGGCGTCGAAAGGGAGCTAACGGAAAAGGCGGCGGTGGGGCTTACCTCAGCTCGTCCGCCTCGCGCTTCTGCGACCGTTGGGCGCCGTGAGTCGTGTCGCGGCCGCGCTCGCGCTGCCTCCTCGCCGACTTCCCGCCTTTCCCGCCTGCCCCCACAGAAAATGGCGGGTTCCAAGGCCAGGCTTTTTAACCATCATGCACCGCGGCTGGAGAAGGAGGCGGGAGCCAGCGGAGGAGAGAGGGAGGGGGAGGGTCAGCTGAGGTGAACATGGCGCGCAGGCCGCCATCTTGGCCCCGCGGCCTTCCCGCCTCGTCGTCCAGCTTAACGAGCCCGGGTGGATTTGGCGGCAGTCGCGAGCCATGCTTGTCGGCTCCAGGGCGGCTGGAATGAGGCAACCAGGGGACAAAATAGAGATTTATAAATCTGGCTTCGCTGGATAACCCAGTCAGTCCGGAGGGAAGGGGGCGCAGAAGGATCCCGGTCAGATCCGTTGCCTTCCTGAGGGGAATTTCTCATCGATCTCGTATCTGTGTTTTAAATCTCTTCTATGGTCGTCCTCTGCCTTTGATGCCTTTATATGAGGTATCTAGCTGGACTATAAAGGGCTATGTAAGCGTGCGAGTGTATATATACAGGTGGCCCTCGACTTCGAAGAGTTCGTTTAGTGACCGTCCAAAGTTATAACGGCCCTGAAAAAAGGGCCTTAGCATTTTTCATACTTACGACAGTTGCAGCATCCCCATAATCATATCAAAAATTTAGATGCTTGGCAACTGACTCGTACGTATGACGGTTGCAATGGGGTTATGTGAGTGCGTTTTGTGTCCTTTTTACAAACGAATTCAATGGGGAACCCAGATCCCCTTAACAATTGTGTGACTAAGCTGCAGTGATTCACTTAACAACTACGCCAAGAAAGGTCGTAAAGTGGGTCAAAACTCACTGGTCTCCCTTAGCAATATCAATTTTGGGGTCAATTGTGATCGCAGGTTGAGGACTGCGGGTAGACAGTCCTATACCTAAGTCACTATTTGATATAGTCCATTAATTTTAAATAATTCAAGGCAGCAAATGTATGTAATACTGCTTCCTGCTCATATTTTCCCCACAACCATCACCTTCTGAGGTGGCTTCAGCTGAGAGAGAGTGATGGGCCCAAAATCACCTAATGGGAATTTTATAGATTTCTAGCTTGCTTTAACCGCTAGACCAAACTGGCTAGCTAACAGTTACAAAGTGAATTAAGACCAGTCCTCATCCTCATGACCATTGCAGCAAAATCAAGGGGTGGGGGAAGAAACCAGATTCATATTTTCTCATCTTTCCTACTATCTCCTGTTGGTAATCTTAGGATTTATCACTTGTTTGCATCTTAGGATTAATGATTGTAACTATGATTTATGACCTATTCATCTTTCCAAGGTGGGTTTCCACACAGGTTGCAACATCTTGGAAGTAACATTTTATTAAATGTTCAGTGCATTTGACAATGTTTGAGCAAAGAAGTCAGAAGTGGGTATAATAAAGCACACAATCCTGCAGTGGGGAAGTGAGGAGCAGCAGGAAAGAAAGAAAGAAGAATGCACATTTTCAAGTTAAGATGTTTTAGGATTCTAAAATTGTTGTTCGAGACAATGGGGTTTTTTGCATCTGGTTTCATCATCTATTGGAAGTGTTTGGATACGACGAAAGCAAACATTTGATGAATCTCCCACTCTTCCTATTTTTCTCCTTTTTCACAATTACTGGTCAATAATGCAAGTATTTAAAAAAAAACATAAAGAAAGCTGTATTTCCATGCAGCACACAATGAAAACAGAAAGCAAGTATGTTAGGAGTTGCAGACTTAATTCACACCCAAGCACTGAATTGGAGCCCAAGTTTTTCCATCCAGCCTTGATCAGGTTGGCATCCAGCGCAAAGTTTTCAGGGAACTGCCAGGTGTCAAGCAACATTTCAGCAGCTCCCGTCATTGAGCGATTCGCCAAGATGAACAAAACAGATTTTTTCTTGAGCTACCAAATAAAGAAGAAATTTATTTTTAAAATCCTGCATGTGGAAGGAAACAAAAGATTCTTTAGAATGAAGGATTGCTAATACTTGTTGCTATTTTCGCAAATAACATTAAAAGTAATCACGTTTGATTATTTGCAGGAGGCAGGAGAGCAGCTGTTCTTAAATACATGCTAGTCTTTTTAGATTTCAGATCTGCAGTACATGGACAAAGCCATCTAGAAATTCTCCAAGCCAATGCTAATAAAAGATCCACTGCCTTTAGAGAAAAGTGTTTTTTCTGTAACGTTTTTTTTAAAAGAAAAAGAAATTATTCCATTTTGGGGAAAAGCAACGTTTTACTGGGACCCTTTGAGAAGTTAAAGAGTGATGTCATCCCCATAGGGGCCCCAGCCCCATCATTCTTTACAGCAGGTATTTTTTAGACAAAATACAACAAATAAAAGGAACTTCAAATTAACTCTGATTTTACCTCTGTTGCATTTTGAACTGCTAGCCCAGGCCTAAAGAGGTCTTCATGCCAAATTTGCTTTGATAGCCTTAATTATCTTGTTGAGTTTGACATCGTCATCCACAAAGCCATCTCCGTTCTAGAGAAAAGGAGGAAAGATTCAGTTCTGCTGTGTAAATGACACAAGGAATTTGCTGCACTACTAAAAATGGCAAAGACTCTTCATGCCCAGGCACGCTCAAGCCATTGCCTCCAGGCAGATTATGCCCTTCAGCTTAACTAGATTTGCTCTTAATGAGAGGAAGCATTGTTGTCAACGCAACAGAAATTAGCATTACCGTGGGAAAAGGGGGAAGAATGCTCAACAGTCTTTCTTGGACTATCATTTCAGGGAATTGTGCCTTTGAGTTCTTCCACAAGGAGAGGTTTCCTGTCTATCTGAAATACCGGTTAAAGCAGGGTTACAAGCCCAGCTCTTCCATGCCCGCGTGCTTGTAGGCACAAAGAGGCCATGGTTCCCTTCCCATGGTGAACTTTACATGAATTCCCCAGAATTCAAAGAGCTGCAAACAAAACCCGATTGTCTTTTAAACCACATCTTCTCTCCTAGCTTAATAACCCTGAAACCAGATATCCTGCTAAGTCATAACATGGTTTATTTGGTTTTAGGCTTGACGGGGTGTTGTGCAACCACCAGATTTGATTTCATAAACCCATCAGAACCTGGACAGCTGAGCTCCCAACAACTTTGTTCCTCTGTGTTCTTTGTTGACTTCAGTGAAAGGGTTTTTGATGTTGTTGAGTTGCTTACCTTTTTGGAGTGCACCGTCTTCCCAGCTACTATCACTTCAAACCATCCTGTGACTTGTGGAGTCCCTTCGCCGCTCTAGATGGAACAAAGACACCATCATCACCCCTTAACCACCACAGACTGAAACACAAACATGCACCTATCAGGGATCTCCCAATCAGTGTCTCCTAATCTTTGAACCCAGATCCCTCTCCCACACTCTGTGCATGGACTGAATCCAACCTGGATGCGACTATCAAGCATCCAAGTGTAAATCACCATGGGGGTGCTGTGTTGGTCAAGTGTGAAAAATGGTCGTCCATTTTTTTTCAGTGCCATTGTAACTTCAAATGGTCACTAAATGAACTGTTGTAAATCAAGGACTAACTGCAAAAATCTCAACTATTTCTCAGCCTCAGCAACTTTCCCTCTACTACATGGAGGGGGGGGGACTGTAAAAGATCAGATGTTTTTAAAGCTTGCATCATGTCTTTACAGACACTTTAATTAAAGTGCAGTTGATAAATTACTTAAAATGGCCAGCCGAATGATATAATCCTCCTCCTTGCCCCCAAATCTTCTCATTTAGGGAACTCCATGAAATGACCAGAAGAAGAAAAGGAAGGTGGAATCTGGAATGGCTGCAAAGACTCACAATTTCCAGCTTGCCCAGAAACTCCTTTTCGAGTTCCTTCTTGAGCTGTAGAAACTACAAGGGGAAAAAAGGAGAAAGTTGTAAAGTTCAGAAAGATCCAAACTAAATAGGTTTCTCAGAGAAATTAAAGCTCACTTGGAAGAAGCATATAAAATGCAATTAAAAGACAGAACTCCCAGATACGACAATTAAAAATAGCTCCCAGCTCACCATTAAAAATAATTGACATACCTTGGGTTTGTAGCCTCAGGCTCCGCTAGAAGCAAAACAAAAGGAAAAATTAACATTTCTGCCCATTTGTCAGCAAAAGAAGCTGTCTCATCATCACCATAATTCTCTATTACGCTCAATCAGATCCCTACAATGGCAAATGCAGAAACAAGCATTCAAATGCGTTTGATGGACTTTGGCAGTGGATACATTTTCCTGGACCTGCCAAAATGTCAAGATAACATTTTTTCTTGGAGGAAAATTGATTTACCACCCAACTGGGAGCAATATTGCTGCTGTCCAGCCCAGCAGGGTGGTGCCAATAATGCTAGCTAATGGAGATAGTTAGACATGGTTCCATCCAAAGGGAAAGCCCAAGAGCCACATGCAGGGACCTCATGCAAAAAGACAATAAAGAACATTTTAGGGACTGGTATGAGCCAACATTGTTGGGCAGCTGCCAAAAAAGCAAACAGAGTTCTTGGCTGCATTAACAGAAGGCTAGAATCAATATCGTACGAGGTGTTAATACCAATGCCTTAATAAGGCCACACCTAGAATTCTGCATCCAGTTTTGGTCACCACGATGTAAAAAAAGATGTGGAGACTCTGGAAAGAGTGCAGAGAAGAGCAACAAAGAGGATTAGAAGACTAATCTGATGAAAAGAATGACTAGGGGTGACATGCAGCAGTGTTTTAATCTTTGAGGGGCTGCCACAAAGAAGAGGGGGGGTGTCGACCTATCATCCAAAGCACCAGAAGACAGGAGAAGCAGCAATGGATGGAAACTAATCAAGGAGAGAAGCAACCTAGAACTCAGTGGGACAACTTGCCTCCAGAAGTTGTGAATTCTCCAACACAGAAAGTTTTGAAGAAGAGATTGGGCAACCGTTTGTCTGAAATGGGATAGGATCTCCTGCCTGAGCAGGGGGGTGGACTAGAAGACCTCAAAGGTCCCTTCCAACTCTTGTTATTCTGTTTCCATGTATAACCATATATTTTTCTGTATGGTTACATGTGCTCTCCCCTTGGATGGGGGAGACCAAGATGGAAGTGCCGCTTCGTAAGGTAACAGAGCCCGGTATGGGAGGCTGAGTTTGGACTACTAGCAAGCCACAATTGCATTCCCATTGGCTATGCAGAATCCAAGACCCTCTACGAATCCAAATTGGACAATTAGACGGGGCAGAGGAATTTTGGAACTTATCCAGGTGCCTCATTCCTTCGGTGACAATATTTTATTCATGCTCCACTTACAACCATTCATTTACTGAGCCCTCAGAGTTAGATCAGCACTGAAAAAAGTGACCGATAATCAGTTTTCACAATTACAACTGTTGCCGCATCTCCATGGTTGCCTGATCAAAGTCCAGACACTGGGCAACTGCTTCATATTTATGAAACTTGCAGTGTCCTGGGGCCATGAAATTCTCTTTTGCACGGGAAAAAAAAGACAGCAAGATTCCCACGACTATAAAACGCCACAGGTGAACCTGCAAACGCCTAGGAATCCCAGAAAGCAAGCTCCCCCCCCTCTCTCTCTCCCAAAAGGCTCTCGCTGTCCAGGATGCAAACGGCTCGGCCGGCGAAGGAGGGCCCCGCCTGGCTGGAAGCCCCTTCCCCAAAGGCTGCAGAGCCGACCCCGCCCCGCGGGAGGAGCGGGGATCACCGGGCCGCGCTTCCTTACCAATAAACCACCTTGATCTTGACCGCCATGGTTGCGCGCGCCGCTTCGGAAGGGCGGACAGAACGTTCGGATCGCCAAGGTTCTGATTTGGAGCGTTGTGTCGCCCAGGGTTTTAACCTGACGCTCGGACGATACCACCGTGCGGGGGAAAGGAAGGGGGAGATTTAATAATAATAATACAGATTTCTTTCTGATGCTCCAGCTTTTCTTCTCCAATCCCCCGGGTTTGCATCAACCCGAGGAGCTCGCAAAAATTGCCCGTGGATATATTTATATATTTAATTTTTATGTATCGGAGCAATGTTACTCGGTGTGTGTCACCCCCCTCCTCTGGATAAACTATTCTAGCAGAGACCAGAGTCACGTGACAGCCGCAGATCTGAGCATGGGGATTTAAAAAAAAAAATTTAAAATAATAATCAACCACCAGCCCTTAAAAATGAATAGAAATAGTGCATGGAATGCGTGCGTGAAATGAACCGAAGGGAGGAAAAAAAAAGAACGCGATTAAAAAGTCCGAAACCTCTGAGCCAGAGACCGTTCTGCGATTCCCTGAACTTAATGAAGGGAAATACTCAAGTGTAAATAAATGACATTTCGATTTTAACTGTCCTTGGAAAGAATAAAAAATAACCGCTGAGCCCAGGGAGTCACACAGTTGCAGTTGTATTCCCCTTTGCACAGAAGCTGGTGTTAAACCATGGTTGGCCCCCACCCGTGATTTGTTGGCTGGGTCCCGACAAAAGGTAGTTAACAAAAGAAGCCCAGGAAACTTTGCAATCATGCTAGCACAGGTATTCCTCAATTTATGACCAATAACTGCCCCCACAGCGAAGCAAGATGGTTGTTCAGTGAGTCGTAACCAATTTGAGCACCTTTGGTGCCAGCGTCATTAAGCGAATCACTGCAGTCAAGTGAATCGTGCGGTAGTTAAGCAAATCTACCTTCCACCCACCCCTCCCCTTGACTTTGCTTGTTGGAAGCCGTCTGGGAAAGTCGTAAATGTGGATCGGGTGATCCCGGGACGCTGCCACGGTCATAAATACATGCCGGTTGCCAAAACACCTGAATTTTGATCACATGATCGTAGTGGTGTGATGGCCTAGAGGTGGAGCTTCTCGCCTCACAAACTCTGTCCTAGATAGAGACAGATGTATCTGTCTCTGGGCACTCTGAGAATATCTCGGCTGAACAAAACTCCGCACTGGCGTCAGGGAAAGGCATCCGGCCATTAAAACACTCTGCTGGCTCCATTCAGTTGCCCAGACTCCACCCCGCAAAGGATTATGTGGTCATTAAATGTAGATGACGATCGTAGAGCTGCTGCTATGAGGGTCGTAAGTGCAAGAACCAGTCCTAAGGACCATTGCAACTTTGGCTGGTCACTAAATGAACAGTTGTAAATCGAGGACCCCCTGTGGTGAACCAGCTGAAATGCTGGCTGTGTGGCAAATGAGGGAAAGTCATCAGACATAAACGGTCATTAACCGGAACTCATTTTATTACCCGTTTAATGTGAAAGGTTACACGGCTATCGACAGCATTCGGTTGCGGTTTGGTTTATCTGAAGAACCCCCAAATTAGGATTGTAACCCTAATCAAAGGCCGGCTTGCCTGGAGCGAGAATTATATATATATATATTTAAATTTACCAGAGGGTGAATAAATGCGGATCATGCGCTCTTCCACATATGACTTAGTTGACCTGATAAAATATTCAAGGGAAAATATCCTCTTTAAATCTGTAAGCGGTGTGTAATTTGAATCTGACACCCGGGCAGCATAAATGGATGGATTGTCCTGATTGAAATGGTGAGGCTTCTACATTGGAAAGTCAAATGACCGTCCGTCCCCCCCCCCTTCGTCCCGTTGGATTGACAAATGATGATGCAATCAGCGGATGATGTTAAGTTTTGATTATTAGGGGGGGAAATGTTATGATAAAGGATACAGTCAAATAAAGGAGGGATAATGATAACAACATATATATGGCCTGGCCTCGCTGATAAGGAGTCGAGCTCTGTAGCTCAGTGGTTAACACATCTGCCTAAGAGGCAATAGAGCACAGGCTCGATTCTCAGTAAGGGTATGGCTAGCTGATGAGAGCTAAATAGCTTGAAATAGATCTATACTAGTCTCCCTTTATTTATTTATCAGCACAAATATAACAAATTATAATATATATATATATATATATAT